CTCAGTCTCTGAGAATAAAAGTGAATATCTCGTTCTTATTTTAATACAAAAATATGCTGCTAGAAATAATTAAAGCTGCTCAAATACAAAATAAAATTGTAATCTATCAAAGCAACAGCGAAAGAAGATTTCCAGCAACGTTGTGCTTAGAATTAAAATAAAACTTAATAGAATAATTTCCACTTATCTTTTGTTTGTTGAAGTCTGCCATACTTTTGGTATGAACTGATCCAAGGAGAGAAATTTAATGATCTTCTGGGACCCTTACTAGTTGGTGAAGTCCGCCTCTTCCCTGCTTTTGCATTGGCTGTTTTCGTTTGTATAACGCTCTTTTTCCCAAAGCAGCCTTCATCTGGCGTTGGAACGATCCTGTAATTGCTGGCCGCTTCTGGGAGTCTAGACGTTGACGTTTCTTGTTCAATGTGGAAGCCGCTTCACCGGAGGATTCAGCTGCTTCCGAAATAATTTCTTGTGCTAGGCAGGTTGTTCCCCCAATGGCCGCTTCCGTCGTAGAATTTGCACTACCATCCGGCCGATGCCTTCCATTCTCGGCTCTTGCAATTCGGATCTCTGATTCCTTGACTCGCGTTCTCACTCCCTGTGTATTGTAGATGGTTCCCTTCTGCTTCCGTTTCTCCTCGACTTGCTCCTCTTTCATTCTAGCCCCGGTCTATTTATGCTGTTTCCTTATATTCCTCATGCCTAAGTCTTTTTACTCCTGGTTCCCTTCTCCCATCTACTTTCTTATCTTTTCTGGAATCACGATCTTCGACGCAGAAGGCTCATCTTTTGTCTTTGGTGTTGCTGCTTCCTCTGCCAGAAGCTGATTCCTGCAAAGTATTTTTGAAAAATTGTATATAAGCGCAGTCGTAATATTTTTCCCTTGGTACACATTCGCAGTGATACTCTCACCGATATTTCCTTACCACCAATTCTTTGTATAATGAACGGCCCTTCAAATTTTGGACAGAATTTAGACATTTTTTCATGTGGGGACCAAGACAACAAATGTTTTATTTTAAGTATTTTGTCCCCGGTTTTAAAGTCGGAAATGCTTTCTTTTCCGATCGCAGTAAAGTTTTTGTTTTGCTCTTCCAATACCAGAATTTAATACTGCCTCATTTTATGAATGTCTGTTAATTTAAATACTGCCTCATTTTCTGAATGTATGTTAATTTAAATACAGCCTCCCGTCTCTGCACAAAAACAATCCGTCGAAGGGGGTAGTTATTTTCCTTTCCATAAATAGATCTGCTGGCGTTTTTATGGTAGAGTCGTGTTTAGCTGTTCTGAGGGCAAAGGCAAATTTGTTGATGCATCCAAGCGTCTGGTAAGTGTTTGCATAGCTACGAATAATTTTAACTATATTCCTATTTACGCGTTAGTTAAAATATCGGATCGTGGCCGATAAGGAACCATCTTTAAATGGCGTATGACAATCCCTGCATATAGATCTTCGGAAATTTGGCTTATAAACTGTGTACTGTTGTTTGATATCCCAAGCTCTGCACCATATTTTAAGATACATTTATTTAGAAAAGAATCAGATACAATTTTATGTACGGCTCTTTTAAGGGGAACTATTTCTACCCACTTTGCTAAATGATCGACAATAACAAAAAATATCTATTTTTATTGCTTTCACTACGTGAGTATGGGGGCCTAAGAAATGTATTCTTATAAATTCTTTTGGGAAAGTACCTCTTATACTATTTAGATACCCAGCTGGCTATATTCTACATCGTTAATTAATTGATAAGTATGGCAGGACCTGACATATTCCGTAATAAATTTTTGAAGTTGTGGAAAAAAGGTTCCCTCACATATTCTGTGCATCGTTTTTCTAATGCCAAGACGACCTGCAGTAGGCGCATTATGGAATTCTTGCAAAAAATGGAGCCGTAAACTGGAGAAACTACCCTTAATTCACTATTGTCATTTTTGTTGCTTTAGCATAAAATAAGAGATTATCATTTATCTCATAACCTGCTGCTCTGTTTTTAATGGCCACTATATCCGGATATTCAAAATTTTCCTGATCTTTTAAATATGTAGACATATTATTGAATTCTTGATCAGTTTGTAATTCGGCAATGATAGTTTCACGAGAGTCCAAGATTTTCATCATTAACATAGAACGTTTTATTTTTTAGTCCTCTTCGTCTATCTATGTTAAGTCATCGGTCATAACATTCTTTTCCGAGCATATGTTTAATTGTTAAGTTGTATTCTTGCAGTTTTAAGGCTTATCTAATTAATCTTGAGGACATTTTTCATTCACCTTGAGGCCTACTGCAGAATGACCTGAATATATAATCATTGGTGCCTTGCCGAAATATAATCTTCTGCACCGTTGAAAGTAAAACCAAAGTTTATTACGAATGAGGACCGGTATTTGGCAGTTACTGTCAAAAGAAACAGGCGGAGCACAGCCTCAGACCTGTCTCGTCAGCTCTCTTCAGCCACTGGTACGACAATTTCAAGGCAGACCGTGTACAGACGCTTAGGGCAGATTGGTCTATATGCTCGTAGGCCTGTCAGATGCGTTCCACTTACTGCAACTCACTGTCGCCTGCGGTTAGCCTGGAGTAGAGAGCATGCATTGTGGACACCGCAACAGTGGGCTTGTGTGATGTTTTCCGACGAGTCAAGGTTTAGCTTGCAGTCTGATTCTCGCCGGACTTTCATATGGAGAGCTCCTGGTACCCGTTGTCACCAAGACAACATCATTGAACGACACCGTTACGATGGTGCAGGAGTGCTCGTTTGGGGTGGAATTATTCTGAGTTCCAGAACGGACCTGCATGTTCAAATTGGAACCATGACAAGCCAAATCTATCGGGACGTCATTCTGGAACAACATGTACGTTTCTTTCGGGGCGCCATGGGCGCACAATTTGTGTTTATGGATGACAACGCCCGTCCTCACCGAGCAAATATCGTAAGCGAATGCCTTCAATCGGAGGATATCACCCGTATGGACTGGCCAGCATTCTCACCGTACTTGAATCCAGTAGAGTACGTGTGGGACATGCTTGGCCGACAAGTTGCAGCCCGTCAACCTCCTCCTACATGTCTACCGGAACTTCGGAGAGCATTGCTTTTTGAGTGGTGTAATATCCCCCAAGATCAGATCGATAATTTGATACTCAGCATGCCTAGGCGTTGTACGGACTGTATTGAATTCGTCTGGGAGACATACAATGTATTAACAATCATACCAACCATGTAATATTGGTTTTTTGTTAATAGGTTTTTTTTTAAGTCAAATTTGTTTTGCTTCTAACTCTTCCTTTCCCTGATTTTGCATTATCCTTAATTTATGGACATGAGTGTATTTTTTGTATGTTTCCCATCGAGATCACACATGCAGAAGTTTGATTTATCTAAAATAATTACATATTTCCTGCTCAAAATCTAACTGGAATGCCCTTTTTCTGTGTGTGTAATCAATGTTTCTCAGTTACGTGTTATGGATTTCATTCCACGCAAATACGTATTTTAGTGCTCTAGCAGCGTAGACGGAAACTTCTAATTGCTCGTTTAATGCTATGAACAGATAGCATACATATGTTTTGAAAATGTATATATTTAATTGGATAATCCAACAAAGATCGATAAGGAGCATATAAGACACTTTACTGCATGCGTTCCATAAATGCGTTACTGCCTGCTATAACATTATCATGTGTACAGTAAATATCAAGTAGATAACAAGACATGTTATCTACTTGATATTTGCTGTACACATGATATATTTACAGTACACATGGTATTTGCTGTACACATAACACGATATCCATAAAAGTTGTTAACGTTAATTCCAAGTATTCCGGAATGGGAAAATGAAGAGAATAGATCAAGAAAAGATCGGATCTCCATCACTAATTTCTAAAGAGATTCTGTGCCAACCAGTAGCAAATGATTCACATTCAGCTAACCGCGAATCAACAGAAATCTTGTCGATCCACAGAGCAACATAAAAAGATGGTTTCAAAAGTTTGAGAGAAGTTCAACTAGTGAGTTTAACATCAGATTTCTGCGAAGCAACTGAGAACAACGTCCGTTCATGTATCTCTTTCTTTCCTGTATAAAGAAGTGAGCCATTTTTAGTGGAAACTGCAGTGAAATATGGGCCCTGTATCTTTGTGTCAAGGGATTGTCCTCCGAGTAGAGAATCTGGGCTGCCAAACTCAAAATAAAACTGCATCACGAAGCGCTTTATAAGGCGGGATGTCAAGAGAATATTCCTTGACAGGCACTCAACCTATCCAAACGACAAACGCTGACTTCTACTGTCAATATTTGAACCGACTACTAGAATAAGTGGCACTTAAGCTACGAGTTTTCATCAGTCGCAAAAGCGTTGTCGTTCATCAAGATAAATAATGTTAATCTATCTGCCTTCAGGTAGGCAGTTAGTCCTCGATGGAAGAAATTTTTTGAAATGTATTTTCTAAGAGAAACTGATTCGTATTCATATTGCATATGGAGAAATCTTCAAAACACCATGAAGTCAGCTCGAGAAGAACCAAATCCGAGAATAATTGCCATGCTTCAAAGATCTTATCCATTTTTTTTATACTGGTGGCCTAAAGCTAAAGTTTCTGTAAATCTTATTAAGTCTGTCAAACAAGCATGCCTGACATTTCGCATAATTGTTTCCCACTAAAATACGTAATGGAAAACATATCTAATGGACATTCATTCGAAGATCATATTAAGACATATGTAACACAAGCTTTGAAGATGACAGATAAATGTTATCAGTATTAGAGTGCGTCATGATTTTGATTTCCAGACTCTTTATATATTCTTTATATATCATTTTGATATATTCTTTATTAATATTGGACTTTATTTGATGAAAGAGAAGAAGTTGTACACTAGACTCAAAAAGTAAAAATTATACTCGAGACTCGAAACAGTAATGAAATGATATGTAGAACTGTAGTTTATAACTGAATTAGTATAAAATTTGATATTTTCATTCTTTACAGCTTTCCAAATGCCAGTCTATGGACAGCTCATTTTGGGAAGTTTTACAAAGAGAAAAAGGAAACCACCGAACAAATTAGATATTTGAAAGAGATTTTTATCCATCCGGATTACAATGGAATGCGAACAAATTCAGTAAGCTTGAAATGCTACTTTTTATTTCAGCACCGACTTGTAATGGGTATAAATAAGTTATCCAATGAAAAAACTTAAATTTTATTCATAGTGTTCTGTTTTAATTAAATGTGTATAATAATAAAATAAACCATAACATTTAAAAACAATAATAGTTTAACAATGCTAAAAAATTATTAAAGTCCATACCTGTTTTGAAAATGTTTCATAAATGCTATCTGGCTGCTAATCATAAAATGGGTAACATAAAATTTGAAGAACATGATGACTCATAAATTTTTTGATATGTCACGAACATGTGACTTATAAAAGCATTCATGACTATTTTTTTTTTTTTTTTTTTTTTTAAGGAATCCAAGATATTGTTTAAAAACAGATCATGAAGCTGAATCTGCAGTTTGGATTTTTGAAGCGTTAAATAAATTTTAAGCTTTCAAGTTCTAACAAACGTGAAAACTTCACGGTACTTTGATGAATTAAAACATTCCTTGTTAATCTAAGTACTAGCTGTAACGAGTGAGATAAACAGCACAAGATTCCTTTTCTATTCTCTGCCAGCGGCTTCAGCTTAAAATTCCTGTACAGTGACAAAAGATACTATGACGCTGAGTACCTTGACCAACGATACTACGAGTATCACTATAGTAGAACTGTAAACATGCTCGCGGGGCTCACAATGCACAAACGTTCGCCAGTTGGGAGTGCTTAAAAACAACGACAAACAAGAAAGTACAACAGTAGCTCCACTCTCTATCATTATTCACATCTTCTCAACTCAACTATCGATAGTTAGTTATTATATCGATTAATAGTGTGTAATTTGATTTATTTTTCATGTAAAAATCAATATCATCTGGTCCGCAGGCCGTAGTTTGCGCGGGCTGATTTGGAATATAAAAAGAGCTTCAAACACTTAATACATAAGCACAAAGCTAGTTTACGAGGTAATGTAATGATGATTTAGCAAGACATGAATTTATATATGCTATTCTAAAGATTAAGAAATCAACTCAGTTCACCAATCAGGTAATATGAATCAACAAGAAATACCTCTTAGCAGTTAGAGAATGCATATATCTCATTAATCCCTTAAATGGTATAGTTAAGCGAAATAAATTTCTTTCTGCAGTGGTAAGAAGTCACACGAAAAATCGTTCTGAAAAAAAATTTGTTGTCCAGTTCAAATTCTGTTAGTTTCCCTGCGCTTCATTCCCTATCTGCGCGAAGCATGAAACCACGTACCCTTAGGTGTAGACACCTAATTAGCTTCTTAAGCATCGCATTTACTATCACGGCTAGTACAAGTGGAACGAAATAAAATACACACGTTACTCTAATCTTCGAAGAACCGAGGGGCAGCTTTGTTGTTTAGCAGAACTCTCTGAAGGGAAAAATTCCCGTGGCTACTTCTTATATACAAGTTACACATCGGGAAAACCACGAAAGCGCTCATGCAGGCAAACTGCTCACCGGGATTCGAACCCCGAGCTGAATTAGCAGAGTGCAGCGACTTTACTCTTCGCTTGTGAGCCATCGCTGGCGGAACTTGAACAGGCTGATAAGCATAATTCTCATTCAACTAACTGCTCTGTCGGTGGAGTAAAGAATTTAGGTCCCGCAGAGATTGGTGCGGGTGAGAAAATGCCTAACGTCTACCCTGCCCATATGTAACATCAAACGAATCGGTTTCCCTTAGAAAGTCCTTAACAACTTCCTTAGGCGAACTGACAACTTCCTTCTTGTGTTTTACTGCACTCCCCCGGGTGTCGACTGGGAGTAATCCCGGCGTTTTGGATAGGTCAATTTTTAGACAGACTCGACTTCTGGGGAAAAATTAGGAGTCCTCACAGTGACTGCCACCAGCGTTTATACGGTGGTAGGTTCAAGCTCGCAGGAACCATATGGTACTGTTTTGTCTGCCCCTTGGTTGTAGTAACTCTAAATGGTTAGATTTACAAGGTTGCCCAGGGATGGGGAAATTGGCTCCCCCTGGTCAACACTGGAGGACAGATCCCTTAACTTGTGTTCTCTTTCATTATTTTAGCTCGAAAGATCTTCCTTGTAAGGCTACGAAACAAAGTTTCGAAAGAAAACCTTTGTATTACAATTTACTTTGATTATGCGAATTTTGTAGTTTAATAATGTTTTTCTTTTTTTAAATCACTTAAAAATTGCACTTTTATAAACAAATTATTTGAAATTTGAATGAATGAATTAATTTGAAAGTTTCTCATGTACCATTAACATTGATTGCAAAGGAAATAAAATTTAAACCTATTAAACGATGCTATCGAAATGAAACAATCTTTCGCGTTCTTGCATATAAGTTTTAAGCCGCGAATACTTAAAAACACAATAATATTTTTAATAAATCCATTTTTCAAATACCGATTAACAGTCTTTATTTTAGATATCATTGATTAAATTGTACTTCTACAATTGCCTATACACTATTCATATTTTTAGTGCATACAGTATAGCTATCATTTAATCCATTTTATACACGATTAACTTTTAGAGACATTCTTTAAACTGTATGCGTGCGATTACGAGTATATCAACTTATGATGTTGCGTGGCCCCAACTTGTCAGCAACAGTAGTAGTGACTGCCATGAACTGTAAAGTACACAAACTCGTAAGAAGGGTTTAAATCCCTTTTTATTCCAGTTTAGAAATCACAGTTGCGTTCACTTGACGCTCACAAACTACGCCGACCCGGCGGTTTAACAAAATAAAAAAAAAAGTAAAACTAAAAATCAATGACAGGATGAATAAATAACGAAATCACTATCTACGAGGCTCTATAATCGTAACTAACTTAACCGCGTTCTAAGATACAGCTGAGATTCATCAAACTTACTGATTAAGAAGTTGAAAGATTCAACGAACTGCCGAAACAGGCACACAGGCCGAAACGCGCGGTTCTTAAAATTTCTACCTAGCAACCTTCACGCTCGCGATTCAAGAAGCACACTTACAATCTCGTTTCCCTTCAATTTAAACTCAATTTACTTCTGCTAAAATTTGAATACTCTGCGCGTTCTACTACGATTTACATACTCTGGCATTGGCAATTCTAGGGGAAAGTAAAGGCTTGACAGGAAAGATAGCTTAAACTTAAAATAAATGTTAGTTAAAATAAATATAAACCCTACAAACTCATTAAAAGTTCCTGTTATACTGTTTAAATGTTTTCTTGTTTTAGTATTCAAAGGTTTTGAGAAAATTTTAATACCATGATAAAATCTCATTTCTCCAAAGTGTACATTTCAAATTTTCCATAGGAAATTTTGACGAAGAAAGGTAGTGATATAGCACTTGTCAGAATAAATGCGCCAGTAGCCATGACAGACTATGTTCGTCCAGTGTGCTTACCTCCCTGGAAAGCCCAGATCCTTCCAGGAACTCTTTGCCACGTCACAGGATGGGGATCAACTATGGGTAAATAAAGTCAGTTATATTTTTTATGCAATGAATTGATTTTTTTTAATATACAGAAAGTTTAAAATTTTATTCTAACGGCTTCCACACCAGAAAGTTTTAGAAACTTGGACAAGACACAGTGAAAAGGATGTGAGTTTTGAAATCTAAAATGTGCTGGTTAATATGTCAAACAGTAATCTAACATGTTATAAGGTATTTCTCCCACCTTATTGGCGTGCCTTCGTGGTCTGCACACTGGGTCGGTATTCTAGAGGTCCGCGATTCGATTCCCGGCGAAGGCGTTGTTAATTTTCATCTCTCCGGCTTTTCCAATAAATCTAATGTCTCTAAAATGTACGTCGACTCAATATATACACATTTCGGGCTGCGTCCCTCATATCATATCAATATACACATTGTTTCACGAGAATATAGTAAAATTAAATTTAAATAATTCTCTTGCGCCATTGCTGCAGAGAATGAAATTTGAATTTAACAAATATTCTCTATTCGTAAAAAGCTAATATAAATTTAAAATTTAATTATTAAAACTAAATGTAGTTACATTTGAGAAAAGTGAAATCAAATAAGGTAATTACCGCTAAAAGCTGCTAAGTACAAACAAAAATTGTTTCACAAGAATATAATAAAGTTAAAATTTAACTTTAGTTCTAATAATTAAATTTTAAATTTATATTAGATTCTTACGAATAGAGAATATTTGTTAAATTCAAATTTTATTCCTTGCAGCAATGGCGCAAAAGAATTATTTAAATTTAATATATTAACTTACTATATTCTTCTGAAACAATTTTGTTTGTACTTAACAGCTTTTAGCGCTAATTACCTTGTTTGATTTAACTTTTTTGAGACGTTCGAAGTCGTTTAGTTGTCTGTAAGGTCTTCGATATCGTCGTAATGGCATCTTTAGTTACTTCTTTATGGAATTACAATGGCAGCAACAAAAAAAGATAAATTTTCCGCCTCTGTTACTGGTTTTATACTTTGCGAATTGCGCTCTAGAAATGCACGCTGTGATCGTAATTCCTGTTCATTTGCCTTGAAACTTTGATCATTTTCATGTTTGATCAAGATGTTTTTGCAGGGGGCGGTGTTTTCGCTCTGCTAAGGAAACCTTTTGGGTGTCAATCAAGTTGGTTTTCCAATTTTGGGATATAACCGGTTTCAGATGTATATTTTAGTATGTTGGAAGTGCTTAAAAAGTGAAGGAATCCTTCAAAGCCAAGGAATACCATGATCGTCTAAGTGAGTAAATAATATAATAAATTCGGGAATTTTGCAGCTAAAGATAAGGAACTTTATATTTAACCAATTAAATTATAATGACTATGTCATTAACCGGAAATTTGGTTCAACAAGACTCTCTGAAAGTTGCGTTTTATTACTTAAAGAACTCATCCCCCACTCACTATGCAAAATTTCTTTTCACAGAATCCCATTTTTTTCAGACATTTTCTATTGAATGTATATTGCATGTCTAGATTTAAGGAAAATGTAAAAAAAGATAAGCCAACAGAGTCTTTTTTAGAGCATATTTCATTGTCAGTAAACAAACTGAAATTAATTTCGCTTCAAATCTTGTGAAATTCTCTTCAAATCTTCTCAAACCTTGTTATGAAACCCTTCAACGAATGGAAAACTGATATTCAAACTGTTTTTCAAGATTATCAGCTTTCAAAAAATGAAATCCGTGAAAAACATTTTACGAAATCTGGCGTCATATATAGAGAACAAGCATCAATGCATTCAAATATTTTTATTTCTTTCCCCTGAAACCGAACCCAGAATGTAATTAGAAATTTTCAGATTAGTCGATCAGTTCAGTCATCGGATATCATACTATTACTGATCTATAAACTAAATGAATTGCGCGTTAATTTCAGTCTTTGCTATATTAAATATTATTTAGTGACTATTATCCACTGACGTTCGCATGGCCGAAGTAAAATATCCAGGAATGAGTAGAGAGATATGTGAAGATTCTTTTTATCTTGTAAAAGAGTTTGGTTTGGTTTATTTAATTATGGCAAAGCACTCGAGGGCTATCTTCCAAAGGGGAGAGAGGCTTTCGTGGACGACCTTTCTAAAGCAAACTGGTTCGTATCCTATTTACACATAGGGAAAACCATGAAAACGCCCTTGCAGCTAGTCCGTTCGTTAAGCTTCGAACCATGGACGGAACTACCAGCATTCAGTAACTTTACCGCTCAACCGCTGGTGTGCACGAATAGAAGAAAATGAAGAATGCCCTTTAGGAGCTGATAGAGTTTTATTCAAAACCTACGCCGAAGCGCGTATTTGTGTATTGCTTTATTGCGTGATTTTTAAATGCGTAATTTTCTATGATTCATCTTTTGCGTGATTTTATTCTTTTAATGTTATGAATTTTATGTTTTAACCTTTATCTGCTTATTTTTTAATTTCTGAAATTTTAATGTCATTATTGTTGATTCGCTTTTCGGTTTTTACATTAGACATTTTTTTCCGGCAGAATGCAGTTGCATGTGTTCACTCAATGAAGCAGTACTCCCCATTAGAGATGGTCGGTTAAATCGAAACTGGCCGCATGGATAGAGGAGGCGTGTGGCATGACGTCACCAAAAACAGTTGTCGCCAACTCCACTCTCTTTTCAAGCTACACACTTAGTCTCGTTTTTTTTTTTTTTTTTTTTTTTTTTTTTTTTTTTTTTTTTTTTGTGTGTGTGTGTGTGTGTGTGTGTCACACATCGTATTTGAAAAAAGAAATTTTATCCACTATTTTGTAATTGATTACTTCAATATTGAGTCAATGATAATGTTATTTTTTACCTTTGACTAGAGGCTTTTCTTAAAATACGAAGATATAATTGCAAATGATATTCAAAGTGATATCACTTTGATTGTGTTTTTCCTTTTGTAGGTACCGGAAATTCAGATGTTTTAAAGCAAGCTGAAGTTCCAGTTGTATCTCACGAAACTTGCGCTAGATACTACACATTCCTGAATATTAGTAAGACTATGATATGTGCCGGATACGCCAGTGGTGGACATGATTCATGTCAAGTAGGTTAAATACTCTACTTAAGAGTATATTATGATGACCTTTCTTTAATTTTTACTTTTAAATATAGTAACATTATCAGTAACGGACGAAGATATTTTCTTATTCAAGATAGACGTCTTTTCTGGTGCTCTTTAACATGCTATTACTATGAGATAGCTAGCATTTTTAATCAAACTGTTTGACAGATTTTGAACTCCACTAAACTTAACGTAGCGGATTCGCGTTAGTACATCCCATTCCTTAATCGAACGCTAGTTAGATCAAATCATGAATACTGAGGGGAAAAATCAAGCAAAACGTTCCATAAGGGCTATGTAAAAATATTTCTTTGATAATATGAGTTTAAATTATATGAATAAAATTCCCAATAGAAAACGGTATACACAACGTTATAAATTTACAATGCCTGCTGGAGAGAGCAATAATTTTGTACAAATAACTGGGACACATTTACACATATTACTTTTATTAAATATCTTGGTCAGTTTTTGTCGTACGGGAAAATTTTTTTCCAGAATACGTGATGACCTTGTCTAAATATAATTACACAGATTGTAGACCAATATAAAAAGCAAGATTTCATAATGTTTACAAAATTTGATTTTTTTTAAGTTTAAAAATGCCATAAAAAGATTATTTTCTTTATTTAAAGTACAGTAGAACCCCAATTATTCGAGCTAACGGGGACCAGTGCTGACTGGGATAACACGGACTGATACGAAAATTTTAATACTATAGTCTTTTGTACATACTATAGAGAAATTACTAACATGCAGGATTCATGCAGGTACATAGCGATATAAAACTCCTGTGATATATATGTAGTACAAAAAAGGATACACACTATAAACCTGAAAACATGTAACTATAATACAAATGCTGTGCTGTACAGTATACATAACATATCACACACGTTTCACACTTTTTTTAAAAAATCAGTAACAGCATTCTGTTTCATTGTGCTGCCTCGTTTTCTTGCCATAGTGTTGCGTAAACATCGCAACATCATAATGTCGGCTGGTTTTGTTGTTCAGCATACAGCATTGCATCTTCGATAGCGTTCAAGGCATCTGTGTGACTGACCGTCGTTTGAACAATTCCCATGTTTTCGTCATCGGAACTTTGACTGTGTGTGACTAAATTTACAATGGCGTCATCAGACAGCTCAAATTATTCATCATCTTCATTGCCTTCAATGGGAACAGAACTTCCTATTGAACAACTTTCACTGTGTGTGACTAAATTAACAATCCTCATCAGACAGCTCAAATTATTCATCATCTTCATTGCCTTCAATGGGAACAGAACTTCTGTATTACCATTTTTATCCGCCTCCTTTTGTGTTCGATTAATCTCTTTACTTGTCTTTCCCTATGTTTTCATTAACGTTCGGGATAATAAATTTAGGGTTCAGGTTTATGCGAATATTTGATTCCTGACTTATCCTTGTATTTCTTATTGTATCCTCTAATATCAAGTCATCTTTCTTCCCGATTAGCAATCCTCTCTTGCTTATCGTTTCAACATTCTTCCCTTCGACTTTTAGTTTGGCAGCACAAAGTAAGGTAATGTGGCCAACGTGCAAACTATAATAGCAGAGGATAGTTTATTGTCCATAGCTACCCATCGAAACAGAAACAGAAATATAACTTAAATGGGAGGAAAGTTTTTCTGGGCTACAACACGGAGTCTAAACACATTTTATGAAACCGTCTTCATCTATAAGTGTTGCATAAACGTAGAATTGTAGTTTGTGTTCCCTTAATCTTAAAGCACTGTAAATACAGAGGATATAAGCGGAGGAACCTCCGAACTGGATAGTACCGAGTGGTTTCGAGATACATGAGTCAATATTTTGCTTGGAGGCAGTTGATCTTCGTACTTTCATATGGAGGCAACATAACACACAAAATAATTCTAATTTTATGCTCGAAAGATCATAAAATTTGAGCCGGAGGACAGTTGGTTCGGGCAGGGTAAATATACGCGGATATACAAACCTGTATAATATCCGACGTGACAGTCGAATGCGTAAAGGTTGTAGAGATAAACTTGGTCTTTCTGTTTCTTTTAATAAACCATAATGATTAATATCGCAGAGCTAATCCTGTGGAAGGCATATCTTTGGAGCTGGAAATCAAGTGTATGAAGTGGCTACTATGCTCTTCCCATTTGAATACAATATAGCATGCATGGGAGGCTCTAGGTAGACGTAGTACTGATTGGTCAAGTTTTCATCTGACTGCCCGAGCTAGAAACTGCCCTTTCAAAGGAACGGAAAAGAGTGACTCAGAATTTCCTAGATCACTTTGTAAATTTTATGCCAAGTCAAATGTTTAGCTATTTTAAAAATTAGGGGAAACTACTCGTCCTACTGATATTATATAAAATCCTCTTAGAAGCAGTTTGCTTAAATCTTCTATTTTCGAATAGTGAAACATTTGGAATTTATGAAAGGTTTGAAATGGTATATTTTCTCTTAAACTGGAAACTTTATAAAATAACTTTAGTCTACTAACTTTACAAGTGAAATGGGGTTACAGGGCTAGAAAGAAACATTTATTGCATTTTTGTTCTCAAACAATTGACTGAACTGTAATGCATTTCTTTAAAAATGACGACTGATCACACTTTTTGTTTGAGTAATGAGTATATATGCGTATAGTTCTAGCAAATGTTAGCTTATAAGTTTCAAGCAAGCTGTGTTATTGTTTTTATTTAACTATCGGTCACACCTATGAATATTAGCATTTTTAATTAGTTCCACTTTTATTTTTGCATTGCCTAATAGTTACGTAAGTTAGCCTTTTTATTTATAGGGTGACAGTGGAGGACCACTGGTCTTACAGAAGCTTAACCACTGGTATTTGGTTGGTTTAGTCTCTACAGGTGGTAATTGTGCCGCTGCAAAGCAACCTGGTATTTACACTAATGTATCATCATTCAAGGCTTGGATATTAAAAATCATGTACAAGCATAAATAGGAATTTGATTTCCATCAAGTTTTTCAAAAGCCTAATTCCTGAGCCGAAGACAAATGAATAAGATGATACCTGGTGAGAACAACCATTTAAAATTCCAACAAGGAGATCTATGTGTGAAAAAATTGCAGTGAGTGAAAAAAATTTAGTTTTTTGTGCAGTGAAACCTCAGTGAGTCAACGCTCGCAGGCAAGCGATTTATGTGAAGTTAACGAGTTCCATAGAAATTCAAAATAAAAAGTGTTTAACGATTTGCAGTAAAATACCTAAAAAAATGAAAGTGTAGTTTATTATTTATTTCTTACTTTAACTTCAAACTTCTTTTCAGTTTTCAAAAACATAGTGAAGCAGCTATTGCTACAATATATAAATATATTGTAGAATTTATACGATATAATTTTTAAATGAGTAAAAAAAACATCCACAATTTTAGTTTGTTTCTGCCTTTTTGTCCTACATAAATTATCTTTAGCGTTTTGTAAGCGATTTGAAGTTGTTTCGGTACATTTTGAGCTTGGAGAACTACTTAAGAATTACCTTACTTTAGTCAAGCTTCTTTGTAGGCTGGTATCTCAAACTCATTTGCATTCAATTTAAAACTTCCCTTTAGCTTATTATCCCTGCCTTCGCAATCGTAGTTTCCTGTTCCTTAAGTCTTCTGTGCATTCATGTGTGCTGATTTTAAATATGAATTTTATATTTTACTCTCATCTACAGTTTTTCTTGATGTTGCTGTTGTACTTCAATAAATAAGTGCAGTAGACTAAGATCTATAAATTTTGTTTCAACACATACTCTAGAATACTTCGTGTTCATTTAGCATAGCTAGAACATGAGCAGAGTATACAGAGCATAAAACATGATTTGTATCGTAAAATATTTAAGTTCATCATTTAAAATAAGGTTGACAAAAGCAGCGAAACAGAATGTAAGCAAGCCAGTTGACGACAAGATGATTCATTACCTCGATCAAGCAACAAAGACTGGGATACTGGTATGGGTAATAAATGCGTACTGCTCCAAAGTAAGAAATTGCTCCTCCACTTCCAATTCAGTTACTCTGAATTGGAACATCAAATATTAGGTTTGAAAATAATGGAAAAGGAGAATGCTGAATTTCGGGAAAAATTCGAGCGCTTCATTTCTTGAATATTTAAGGAAAACGAAAAGAGAAAAAGCATTCAGGGCACGGGCGATATCATGAAAATACCATGAAACAATCAGAAAATGCAAAATAAAGGTACGCAACTGCAGTAAAAAGGAAAAATTTGTAAAATTCAGGTGAAAGAAAGTGCAGTTAAAATCTGAAGTTATGATCACTGAGAAGGTGACTTACATAGAGTCGGAGGCCTGAGTGATCCTTTAAAACTCTCATATTTGAGATGATCAACGAAGTCCAGCAGTTGGCACTTGGTTATGTGCCAAAAAGTATTTGCACCACAGTTTAAAATATGTTCTTCTATGGATGATTATTTAAATGGATGTGAGTTTTCTTATTCCATGCGAACAAAAAGGCTTGGTCATATTATGAAAAATTGCCCTCAAGGTAATTTAGAGCTTCTTGATATTATTCTTATTAGTTGTAGCCAAGCGAGCAAGGCATAACATAAGATCGGAGAACAATGATCAGAATTCCTGGCCTGGGAGGAATTTCTTCTGATGTCCTGTTTGTAAAATTCATAATGAAATGTTTTTAAGTGGAGAACTATTTGATAGCCATGTCCAAATAGTAACTAGCAGCTCTCAAGCCTATTTAAGTAGTCTAGGGCTCTAGGTGTAATGTTTCTCAAAGAAAGCCATTGCTCACTTTCCTTGCTTTCATGAGACGAAAAACGAAGTTATGAAGAGTTCCCAAATGCTTCGGAAACTCTCTAAAAACTTGTAGGGCCCTAGACTATGGCCTAGTGTGAACTAGGCGGTAATCATGCTCTATAAGAATTTGCATTCCTAAATGTAAGTCATTTTAAAGTAATTTTTGAAACGATATTTTATTTTTATTTATAATAATTAATAGTTTAGATTTCTGAAGACACCACTGTCTAGATAGTTAAAAATAATGCAGTTGAATCGTAGCTGAATGAAGAAACGTTGAAAGCATAGATAAGATGCAGAATGGGTTGGCTACTAAATTATTCATTTTTCTAAGTTACACAGTAACATACTAAGATCAAAACAGGCATGCAAATACAACTTATCCTAATCTCGGGATTAAATTCCTGAATAAATATTTACATTTAAAATCTAAGGTCCTAAATACCGCATTAAATATTAAATTTATACACAAAAAGAACATAATCATCACTACACGCAAGGAGGAGGTGAACAGTACTTATATAACAGTAATTAGGAAACTACCCAGGTTCGACCAATATAAGGAATATTCCGTCCCTTAACTACACTGACAGGCGCAGAAACATATCTTAAATAATAACATAGCTTGACTATATAATTCTAAAGACATAATTACCATTTAGCATATTAAATACATAAGAAAATCACAATTAAGGATTTTGTCCTATCTAAAGAAAAATCTAACAAAATTTAACATTTCATAATCAAATACACATTGAGATAAAGTAGAGGGATCGTGGCACTAAAATAGAGAACTAATTTTTATGGGCAAATCTAATGCAATTAATCTTTATTATAAAATTGAAAAAGGCTGTCCCCAGGGCTCATGTAGTGCTCCCCTCATAGCAAATAAATTACTGCAAGAAAATGTACCTGATACGAATATTACCTGTTATGCTGATGATATTGTGATAACTATTGCAGGAGACTCCCTCGGAAAAATAGAGGTTACTTTTAACCTGCTGGAAAATGTTTTTAAGAAATGGAGTACTGAGGAAAATATAGAATTTAATATTGAAAAAACAAATGGTATGTTTTTCCCTCGGGGAGGGAGAAATGTTAGACCCCCCATATTGAAATATGATCAAAAAAGAATAAAATTTGTGAATACCTTTAAATACCTGGGTGTAGTGATCGATGATAAGTTGAATTTTATAGAGCATTTTAAGTCACTGCAACGAAAGATAGAAAAAAAAAATTTAATTATTATAAAAGTACTGTTACGAATTTAGTATTTAAAAAGCTAATGTTAGTTCAATTATAAATTAAATGGTTTTTTTCCCGCGCAGTGCAGCGCGTGACGAATATCAAAAGAAAGCTAAGCCGGAAAATTGAAAATACAAGAGCGCGTGCATTAAACATTTAATAAATATCTCTTTTTGATTTCGAGAAAGTACTAGAAAATTCTCGCGCGTGATTTTAAAATCTTATAAAAGGAGGAAAACCTCTCGGTTCGTTGTAGTTACTTAGTTTGTTGTTGTTTAGAAAACTGCTCGTGTTGACTGTAGCGAATTCGCGGATTAGCTTTCTTTAGCTGTTTTGAATTAAGTTCTATTGAACGTTTGAGTAGTTAGAAGATAACTACTGTGATATATTGTGATACTGCACGATTATTTGAGGACATTTAATCATATTTGTTGTGATAGTAATAAATTTTCTTCATTTTTCATCGGACTTGTGCATTCATTTCGTAACGAACACGTACGCACGCAACAACTTTTGGTGTCAGGAGTGGGGTTTGAATGCCAATTACTAGAGCAATTGAGGAACAATTGAGGCAGATAATTGCTTAATTATAATACTGCTTTCGCTGCATTTAAAGAAGAGATGAAAGACTCTGTTAAAGAAGAGATTAGATCCATTAAAGTAGAAATGAAATCGGGACAGGAATCCGTTCACGAAAAGTTGAAATCTGGTCAGGAGAGGATTGAAGCAGGACAGAAAGAGATGAAAACGGAAATTGCCTGCATAATAGAAAATAAATTTGAGGCTATGGAAGGCAGAATGGACGGGGTTGAAAACAAAGCTGGACACATTGTAGAAAACGTTTCTTCTGTCAAACAACAAATAGAACAGAGAGTTTCGGTCGTAGAACAACAAATCGATTATAGAGTTTCTTTAGTGAAAGATCAAATAGGAGAAAGAGTTTCCGCTGTGGAGCAACGGATAGAAGGAAGAGTTTCTGCCATCCAACAACAGATTGATGAGAGAGTTTCTGCAGTTGCCAAAATGGATACTTTAAAGAAATTCGTAGCGACAGCAGGAAGCAAGAGTGATTATTTTAAATTCTTACCGATGCCTGCTCGTCCATCTCTGAAACTATCCACATATGATGGGAAGACATCCTGGCAAGTATATAAGACCCAATTTTCTATAGTTGCGGATGCGAATGGATGGGATTCCCAAGCTAAGGCCTGTCATCTCGCCGCTTCTCTGAGAGCAGACGCAGCGGATATCCTGCAGACGCTTTCCGAAAACCAGAGACTAGACTTCGAAGCTCTATCCGGCGCATTGGAGCTGCTCGTTGGCGAGAAATGTTTAAAAGACTACAGCAGGCTTCAGTTAAAATCCCGTCAACCGAAGCCCACTGAATCACTCCAGGAACTCGCCACGGATGTTGAAAGGCTGTTCCACCTCGCCTTTACGGAGTGCCCGAGAGAAACGAGGGAAATCCTGTCCCTGCAGTACTTTATCGATGGCATCCGGGATCCCGAAGTACAGAAGGCTCTACGAATAGCGGATGTTAAAGATTTAAAAAGCGCTCTAGTGTACGCCATGAAATTCTAAGCAGCCCAGCAAGCAACTCGTAGAGACCGCCACCCAATCAGAGCTGCTCAAGTTCAAGAGCCAAGGGATCAAGTCACTAATCATCTAGACGATATAACCAGACAAACTGAATGCTTTGAGACGAAATATCAGTGACAAGAAATCGACCTTAAAATGTTGGAACTGTGGATCTGAAGGACATATGCGAAGGAACTGCAGAACGCCCCAGGGCACGGATGTTAAGACCGCTCCTAGCAAGCAGCAGGGAAACTAATTTGTGGCCATCTCGCGGGGCGGAGGTTGCCAGATAATGAAAAGCCCCAGTTTAAAGCGCTTCAGATTTCTGCAGTGAGAGGCGGCAGTAATGGAGTTTTCATAATAGGACATATTAATGGAGTTCCCTGCACTATGACGATAGATACAGGAGCCAACGTTACCATCATCCGAAAAGATTTGGCTCAACATCTGGGAAGCAAACTTATCTGGACGCCGCCCTGCGTTACCCTCCAGAACGGTTATTCCGGTGAGAGTAGCCAATGTAACTGAGAAGGCGAGAGTTATTAAGAAAGGTGAAGTGGTTGCAACATGTACTCCAGTAACCAGCGTTGAAAGAAAGAGTAACATCCCAAAAGTGTCCTCAGAGAGCATTACATCGGAGTTATTGCAGAATTCGCAATTAAACGATAAAGAGAGGAATGCTGCCGATCGCGTCATTAAAGATCTTCAAGTCGTTTTCTCCCGCTCGTCTTCTGACGTGGGTCGAACTAGTTTAACACAACATAGAATAGATACCGGCGATCATCCCCCGATCAAGGAACATCCAAGACGTCTACCGTTTGCTAAACAGAAAGAGGTGCGAACACTGTTAAAAGATATGGAAGAAGGTGATGTCATCGAGCCTTCAGCAAGTCCATGGGCATCTCCCATCGTTCTCGTCAGAAAGAAAGACGGCTCAACAAGATTTTGCGTTGACTATCGCCGGTTGAATAAGGTTACGAAGAAGAAAGACAGTTACCCTCTTCCTAGAATTGACGACATTCTAGGACACTCTTTCTGGAAGCAAGTGGTTCTCAACACTTGATTTAAAAGAGTGGGTATTGGCAGGTATAAATACACCCTGATGACCGAGAAAAGACGGCATTTACTACGGGACAAGGGCTTTGGCAATTCAAAGTGATGCCGTTTGGACTGTGTAATGCGCCGGCAACATTCGAACGCCTCATGGAGACTGTTTTGAAAGGTCTTTCCTACGAAGCCTGTCTGATATACCTGGACGACATCATCATCGTCGGAAAGAGTTTTGAAGAACATCTAGAAAATCTTAGAAAGGTGCTTCAGAAACTGAAAGAAGCCAATCTGAAGCTGAGTCCCGCTAAATGCAAATTGTTCCGAAAGGAAGTGACTTACTTGGGACATGTCATCTCTGCAGAAGATGTGTGCACGGATCCTGAAAAGGTATCAGCGGTTAAATCCTGGAAACGTCCCGAAAATGTCCATCAGCTGAGGAGCTTCCTAGGGCTTTGCACCTACTATAGGAGATTCGTGAAGGACTTTTCTTCCATCGCAAGACCCCTTCACAAGCTGACAGAGAGCAAGCAAAATTTCTTGTGGACAAAAGAATGCGAGGATGCATTTAACAACTTAAAGGAGGCTTTAACATATGCTCCGATCCTGACGTACACTCAGCTTGACAGACCATTTATTCTCGACACAGACGCGAGCAATGAAAGTATCGGTGCTGTTTTGTCCCAAGAAATAGACGGCCAAGAACATGTAGTAGCTTACTGGAGAAAGTGCCTGTCTAAACCGGAGAGGAATTACTGTGTCACTAGGAAAGAGTTGCTCTCCATAGTTAAAGCCGTAGAGCATTTCCATCACTATCTATACGGCCTCATTGGCCTGGCTTTTAAATTTCAAGAATCCTGAGGGTCAAATAGCCAGGTGGATATAGAGACTCCAAGAATATGACATTACTATCCGTCATCGTAAGGGATCATCACACAGGAACGCCTTGTCTAGAAGACCTTGTTCAGAAAGCTGCCGATATTGTTCCAGAGTGGAAGCGAAATACGAGCTGCTGACTCCGGTCGCAAGACAAATTGCAACATCAACATCGGCTGTTCGAGACCCGTGGAGTGATGATGAAGTCAGGAAAGACCAGCTGGAAGACAGCGACATTAAACCCATAATTGATTTAATGGAGTCATCAAACAGAAAAACTACCTGGCAGGACATTTCTATCTGTAGTCTTACAACAAAAACAATACTGGGCACTCTGGGATTCACTTCACATTCGAAACGGTGTCTTATACCGGAAATTCAAATCGGATGATGGGAAGACATTCGTTTCGATGGCAACTGATACTTCCAAGATCCCGCATTCCTGATATCCTTAAAGAACTACATAGCAGCCCTACAGGAGGTCACTTTGGAATAATGAAGACCTTGCAGAGAGTTCCAGAAAGTTACTGGAATAATGCAAAGGATGACGTGCAAAAGTGGTGCCGATCTTGCGATGCCTGTGCAGGTCGGAAAGGACCGAAGAGACGCAGCCGAGACAAGCTGCAACGTTACAACGTAGGGGCGCCTTTCGAACGTATCGCCTTTGACATCTTGGGACCTCTGCCACGAACTGCTGATGACAACTAATACATACTCGTTGTCATTGATTACTTCACCAAGTGGCCTGAAGCGTATCCTATTCCTGATCAAGAGGCTGTCACAGTAGCTGAGGTGATGATACAGCACTGGATTTCCAGGTTCAGAGTGCCTCTTCAGTTACATTCCGATCAGGGAAGTAATTTTACCTCGGCAGTAATCAAAGAACTATGCAAACTACTCGGCATTGACAAAACCCAAACGACGCCATTGCATCCCCAGTCGGACGGCATGGTAGAGAGGTTCAATCGAACCATCCTTAATAACCTCTCATTAGTGGTTTCCAGAAACCAACAGGACTGGGACAAGAAATTACCACTGTTATTACTAGCTTACCGCAGTGCTGTCAACGAGACTACCGGCTATTCTCCATCACAGATGCTCTTCGGTCGTGACCTTCGTCTGCCTTGTGATGTATTGTTTGGTCGCCCTTCGGATTCTTCTTCATCGTCTGAGGAATATATTCAAGATCTCCAGGCCCGGTTTGAAGTGATGCACAACTTTGCACGAGAGCGAATTAACTTGGCGACGGAGAAGATAAAGACCCGCTACGACACAAGAGCTACTAAACATCAATTCCACGAAGGAGACAAGGTGTAGTTGTGGAATCCGACTTGACGGAAAGGACTCTGTAAGAAATTACAGTCACCGTGGGATGGTCCGTACACGGTCCTAAACAGGCTGAATGACGTCGTAATGCGGATCCGTAAGTCTTCGAACTGTAAACCTAAAGTCGTTCATTACGACAGTTTAGCTCATTACTATGGCCATTGTACGTAATGTAAATAGTTGTAAATAGTGTAAGACCATGGTCCTTTTTGTTTCTAAATGTGTATTTAGTATTTGATTTGTATTTTGTATTTGATTTATTTTATTTATTGCATTTATCGTTCATGTTGTTTATTATTGTAATGTAATGCTTATTATTGCATTTATGCCACAGTGTAAGTTTGCCTTCCTGTCTAGGGATTGTACTGCCCGGGACGTGCAGTCCTTGGGGGGCAGTGTTACGAATTTGGTATTTAAAAAGCTAATGTTAGTTCAATTATAAATTAAATGGTTTTATTTCCCGCCCAGTGCAGCGCGTGACGAATATTAAAAGAAAGCTAAGCCGGAAAATTGAAAATACAAGAGCGCGTGCATTAAACATTTAATAAATATCTCTTTTTGATTTTGAGAAAGTACTAGAAAATTCTCGCGCGTGATTTTAAAATCTAATAAAAGGAGGAAAACCTCTCGGTTCATTGTAGCCTCCCTTGATCCTTGATTCTTGAATTACTATTGGCTGTTTAAGTTTTAGTTTCAATTACATCAATTGTTACTAGCTTTATGAACTGTAAAGGTGTTAAATAAAGTAATTCTTTTCTTTATGTAATTATTATTATTCATTTTTAAGTTCTGTGAACTTTTATGTATATAATTTGTGCATTTGATTAAGATAAACTGTTCTGTTGTTAAAAATTGTTTGCATAAACTTACAAATTTCTGGGTAGTATAGCGATATAAGTGAGTAAAATACTTACACAACTGAACATGTGGAAAGACGTATCCCAAAATTTATATAGGTATATTTCTGTAATTCAGCATAATTCAAGGCAATTACTTTGAGTTTCATAAATATGAAACACGCGCAAACTGAAATCCTTAAATTCACATAAATCTATTTTATTTTATTAATATTTATTTTCTTGTTGTTATAAGGTTGTTGGTTTTGAAAAGGATCTATTTAAAACTTTCATTTAAAAGAAAATGCAACCTGTGACTAGTTTTTTAGATAATTAACTGCTAAATATGTGAATTTCTGTTTTACTGTATTACAACTTAAAGCTGAAGTATACTAAAATAAAATAACTTTCTTTCCTATCTCTTGAACTTTGTATATGAAATGATTCTTAAATAAATTATGATAATATTATGAATAAATCAGAAATATTTCTTTTTAGAAGAAAAAATTGGAAAGTACGCCCAGTAGGTTGCTAATAAAACCTAAACAAATCCTTGAAATATGCAGAAACATCATTTTTAAAGGATTTAATTTTTAAAGGACATGCATTTAGATTTCAAACTATTTCTTAATAATTTTCCGTACATTGTAAATTATGGATATCATCTTTATTAGTTTAAAACAAAAATTTAATAATAGCGAAGCATTTGATTATAAATTTAACATATTTTTACTGGAAAATTCACGCAAGGAACAGCTTAGAAATACGTACGTTTCACTGCCGTAATGTAATATATTGATAGAACTTACTTGACACTGCTTGTTAGGTAGGGTTTCTTTCTCCGAAATAGTGGAGGGAAACTGCTAATTCTCTCTCCCTCTATTCTCACTTCCTTGGCCTACACTATTATTTCTGCGAAACTCTTGCATGGGAGCAAAACAGTAGCGAACCTGGTGGCAGCAGTAGTAGTTCTGTTCGTTCTTGTTTCGATAGCGGAAATATTAAGTTTAAAATATTAAGATGTTTTTTCTGAGTGAGGTGTTGCGTTTTGTTTTAATGCTAAAAGAATGTAGGACGTTATTTGTTTAGCACAATTAAAAACGGCAATTTTCTAATGTTCTCATGATGCACACGGAATTTTTTTAGGTTTCAGGAAAATGTCAACAATGAATACAATGCACACTCGCGATGCGATCCGTGTTAAAGTTAAGGTAAGGATAACTGATCAGAGCTTTAAAATTTTTATATATCTGTCAGTTATATGTAATAGCTTTTGAGGTAAATCTAGTTTCTTATATGATGCTCCTGTTTTAAGTTTGAATTACGAGTGTTCTGCTAAAACTTTTGTGAGTTTATTTAACGTAATGATTAATTTATAACCTTTTAACCATTTCAGTGTTGTATCCTTCTTACGTTATGAATTGTTTATACGTAAATCAAACAGTTACCCTGTTACCTAAGAAATGTTGTTACGTCTTTAAGAGCAATAAAGTAGAAACCAGGAAAATATTTTCTGTAAACGTTGGAAATTTCATATTTTTATTCATCGTTTCAAGTAAAAGAAATGTAGCTTAAATTTTTATGACAAATAAATGTTGATTAACTCTTTTCAATTCAGATTTATTTTTGCTTAACCCAATCTGTCAGTGAAATTTTTTATTACCCTTGTTATCATGTTCATTATTTTACCATTATCAGATAAGTAATCATCCTTACAATTTCATCAATTCAAAATGAGTTATAATTAAAAGATTTGTTTCCAAAGTGTGAATATAATTTTCAGAATTTCTTGCAAATTTTAATTTGTGACATTAATTTCAACTTTACATGTGTGTCATTGTTAAAATATTTTAAATTCAGTGCTGTTATGACATACACTACTTAGAAATACTTGCAGTTATGTTTGAGATAGAGGTATTAGCTTTAAAATTAGTAAACAGTATCTGAAGTTCGGCAGATTTCTCTGTTTGATTTTCCTTCTAAATTTTACCCAGCTTTAAATTTTAATATGTATTGTACATTTGGTAACACTTTTAATTTCTGTATTTTAAACTTGTAAAGACTCAAATATGCTTTAACCCACTGCTTGGATAATTTTCTTTGGTGTAGCTTTCTCCCTTTTCTCCTTTTCCTTCCCCTCAAATTATAAAAGTCGTTTTTTTTTTTTGTTCAAAGAAAAAAATGTTTTTTTTTTAAATAGATGTAATTATAGAACATTCCCACATGTGTAAAGTTTTATAGCATATATTTCTATTTTTGCGGCTAGTAAACCATTTAAGATATTACCTGAAATATATATGTGCGGTTAGCTCACAAGTAATTGTATGCATTTTAAGTAATAAAAAGTTAAACCGTTAAGGCTAATCTTTGGAATACGGTAACAGGTAGTTTGGCGACATTTTGGTGAGGCGATAAAGGTTACTAGCTAGGACTTTAGCAGTGTACATGGATAAAGTCAAGAGTGTGCACAGTGCCCTTTTTGTGCAATTCTGGGATGTTTTTTTGGTTGATCTTTACAATATGGTAACTGGTAGTTTGGCGACATTTTGGAGGCGATAAAGGTTACTACCTGGGACTTTGGTAATAATGTGAGCAGTACTCAGTTCCGATTACGCATTATTTTGCATGAGGGAAATGAGAGATCATGGGATATGTCATGTGATATTAATGGACGAATTACGGTTCTTTAATCGGAAAAGGGGGGAAAAGGGGGGAAATCGGGAAAAAATGTGGAAATTTTGTATTTAGCTTTATTCTGTGTTGTGTGAAACAGTGTTGTTTAATTTTTGGATCCCATGGCCCTAACTAAAGTGAATTCGAAATGGGTATTTAGGCATTGTGATAAAGAGAAGTTTGCTTTTTATTTAGCAGAGGAAGTATGGAGGAAAAATTCGCAGAAAAAATCTTTCAATAATTTTATTGAATGAATTAGAAAAGTGTATCCGCCACGTAATCAAGATTCTGAAGAAGATTAGGTAAGTTAGTATTTTTAATTATTTGAGGATATTATTTTTATGCATTGTTCTAAATGTAAGGTGGAAAGGAATTTGGTATTATTGGGAAAATTGTTATTAGCAATGATTTTTTTAGTTTAAAGTAATTAGGATTGTAAGGTAATTTTTATTAAATTAATGTATGTGCTCATTTATATTTTAAGTAGTGTTTTTGAATTTAATTATATTTTAATGAAATGATAGTTATTTTGTGAATTTTATGTTTGTAGGAATTGGTATACGTTTAAGTTGAAATAAACGTGCATGGAAATAATTTAAATATTTGATACTAAGTATTTGTAATGCTTGCCGATATGAATTGTTGGTGGTGACGTGTATAATGTAATAGATGATTTAGAGGTAAAAGTTTTTGGATATTTTATTTATTTTATATGTGGAAATGTTCATATTTGTAAAGGGTAAATACTTTTTCGCGATCAGGTAATTTCATATATGTTCATTTTACCGGGTTTAAAGATTGAGGAAATTGTCATGTATTTTCGTGAAATTTTTCTAATTTATGAGAAAAAAGCAGTGTACATAGATATAGTGAAGAGTGTGCACAATGCCATTTTTGTGCAATTCTGGGATGTTTTTTTAAGTAAAAATAAGTCGCCGTGTACATGGTTTATGTGTATGTGTTATTTTGAAAAACGTGTGAGGAGTATGGTATTGTGCACTTTTTCCCAATTTTGCAGTGAATATTTGTCATAATTAAGCAGTTTTCTTTGATAAAATTTCTAGCATAAGTGTAATTCGGCTACTAGTTGGAAGTTGTTGGAAGAAGTGTTCAGTAGATAAAAAGAAAAGAAACATGTCTTTACTTCGTGAAGACAAAATGGCGGCGGGGAAAAAAAAATAGAGGGTTGCTGTAGGAGAGTTGGTTGCCAAATTTTCGCCAAAAAATCGCCAAGTTACCATAATGTAAAGATCAACCTTTTTTTAAGTGAAAATAGGTTGGCGTGTACATGGATACCGTGTATGTGCAATTATTAAAAAGGTGGCAAGCAGTGGGCGAATCTGCACTTTGTCCCAATTTCGCACCTAATCTTCATCATGATTAAGCACTTTTGTTCCATAAAAGTTCTAGCATAAGCGTAATTCAGCTAGCATACTGTTGGAAAAAAATGTTGAGTAAAAAAAAAAAAAACATGCCTTTACTTCGTGAAAACAAAATGACGTACAAAAAAAACTAGCAGGTTGCTGTAGCAGGGTTGGTCGCCAAATTTTCGCCAAGTTGCCATAATCCGAAGATTAACCGAAGTTAATGTACTGTGATACCCTTAAGTTATACAATAACTGGGACCAGTGAAAAGTGGGCTATGAAGTTATTTTTATGCTGATGGCTTCATAAAATGTAATAAATCGCGACATCTGAATTCATAATTATAAACAGGAAAAGAAGGAAATATTGAGAATATCAAACTGTGTTCTTTGCTTTTCTGTACCAAAGAATAAAACAGTGACTGCACTTCGTACATAAATGTAGAACTGCATTTGCTGGGAAACATAATTATAATTTAAGAATAATTATTTTGCTTTCCTACATATTATTTCTATAAAGCTAATTCTAATACATAGGCAGAGCAATGTTTTGTTTATCAGCATTTTCTAAATGACTGACAATTTCAAGTGCTAAATAATTATAAGCATAAATATGCAAAATAATGAATTTCAAAACATTTTGTGTAATTTTTTTAATAAATTATCAAACGTTCATTCTTTGCAGAAATATTTATATAAAATTGTAAATACAGAGAGATTATTTTCAAATAACATTATATATACACTCATGTCCATAAATTAAGGATAATTCGGAGTCACGCGGAAATCGAACTCTAAAATAAATATATCACCTGTAAAATCACTACACACATCTTCAAGAATCGTATGCAAATTTCAGGAAGTAACCAGATGACATTAATGGTGCGTCACAATGACAAGAGTGTAAGAGAGTGATATATAAGGAATACAAGCAAAGAAAAATTAAAATTGTTCACAGGTGCTTTTAAGCATTTCAGTGCAATAACCAAATAGTTATGACACAAAGGACTCATTTGGATGATTTTTTATGTGGTAGATTTATCGGCCGTCTGGAATGTGGGCATACCCAACTGGAAGCATCAGACGAACTTGGAATTGCCCAGAGGGTCATCTCCAGGCTTTGGCAACGATTCCAAGATGATGGTAATGTGAGTAGACGTTACAGCACAGGTCGCCCCAGAGTTACAATGCCGAATGAGGACCGGTATTTGGCAGTTACTGCTAAAAGAAACAGGCGGAGCACAGCCTCAGACTTATCTCGTCAGCTCTCTTCAGCCACTGGTACGACAATTTCAAGGCAGACCGTGTACAGACGCTTAGGACAGATTGGGGTTAATCTTTGGATTATGGTAACTTGGCGATTTCTTGGCGAAAATTTGGCGACCAAATCTTCTACAGCAACCCTGTATTTTTTTTTTTTTTTCCCGCCGCCATTTTGTCTTCACGAAGTAAAGACCTGTTTCTTTTCTTTTTATTTACTGAACACGTTTTCCAACAATCTACTAGCCAAATTACACTTATACTAGAAATTTTATCTAACAAAACTGCTTAATCATGACAAATATTCACTGCAAAATTGGGAAAAAGTGCACAATCGCAAACTCCTTGCGTGTTTTTCACAATAACACATACACATAAACCATGTACACGTCGACTTATTTTTACTTAAAAAAAATCCCAGAATTGCACAAAAATGGCATTGCGCACACTCTTCATCACTATATCCATGTACACTGCTTTTTTCTCATAAATTAGAAAAATTTCACGAAAATGCATGACAATTTTCTGAATCTTTAAACCCGGTAAAAAGAACATATATGAAATTACCTTATTGTGAAAAAGTATATACCCTTTCCAAATGTGAACATTTCCACGTATAAAATATCCAAAAATTTTTACCTCTAAATTATCTATTATATTATAAACGTCACCAACGAATTCATACCGCTAACATTACAAATACTTAGTGTCAAATATTTAAATTATTTCCATGCACGTTTACTTCAACTAAAACATATACCAAATTCCTACAAACATAAAATTCACAAAATAACTATCATTTAATTAAAATATCACTAAACCATGTACACGTCGACTTATTTTTACTTAAAAAAACATCCCAGAATTGCACAAAAATGGCATTGTGCACACTCTTCACTATATCCATGTACACT